CAAAGTGCTTTACAGAGGCAGAAAACAGACATTAAAATCTAAAACAAAACAAAATCAACCAAAAGAGAGTTTAAACAGATAGGTTTTTAACTGCTTTTTAAAAGACATGACTGAGTCCACAGATCTCAAACTCAGAGGGATCGAGTTCCAGAGTCTGCTAGCCACTGATACAAACGCACTGATACAAACGCACTGATACAAACGCTGCCAGGTTTCAGTTAAAAACCTGGCAGCGTAATGACTTAGTACAAACTATAACGTACCTGCTCTCACAAAGTCTGTGAAGCGAACTTCTTCCAATTTGACATATTTCTTTGTCTCTCTGTGTTTTACTTTTATCAACATCTTGGCCACCTACGGAAAAAAATACCTTCACTAATGTGAAACACAACACAAGAAGAAGAGGTTGTTTATGGTAACTTTATGTGAACTGTGTATAACTTAATCAATAAACACTTTCTTACATTGAGTTAGCCTGTCCACACTAAATATTGCTTAAAATCTACTTAGCTAGGCTAGGTTTGGCAGACAATGTGACCGCATGTTTGCTGTGTCCTTGTCTTCTCAGTTCTGGAGACAGTGTTGTGTGCATATCTCAGTGTGCAGCAGGACTAACTAACTGATGTTAATGGTACCTCGACGTCTCATCAATGCAGGCTGCACCTCTCTTTGGTTAAATTACCATTACCATGAGTCTAAACAGAATATCACTGTAGTTAGCTAACGTTAAATTAAACATTAGTGTTAAAAATAAGAAAAAGAAATAAACGTTTTCATTGACAACGTGAAATGTGTATCTTAAAATACAGTAAGATAAGTTAATTAGCTAACTTTTGACTAGCATTAGCCTAGCTGCTATCTCCAAATCAGCATAACACATGTACAGAAAACACATGTAGTGCTAGTTAGTTAACTTTATATTTTACTTATGCATACATGTAACCAAATATATACAAATAACATCACTACACTCACAGAAAATCCCAGAGTAAATAAAGTATTTTTACCTCCTACATGTCGGAGTCCAAGAAAGAAACACAGATAGGCGGTCGACAGACAAACAACACCAGCAATGTGTTGAATTAGACTCCTTAGCACCCAGTGAATGAACATCCAAATATTACACCGCTTTAGAGTACTCCCCAACACTGACTGTAGTATAAGGTGAAAAATAAACTCTCTGAATGTAACTCTTGCGCACTTTTATGCCTAACTCCAGAATATTTAACTCCAGAAATTTGCTGTGTACCAGTGGCTGGACAAAGCTGGACTGAAAGACAGCACAGAGGCTCTAATCATGGCAGCACAGGAACAAGCTCTGAGTACAAGTCCCATACAAGCTTGGGTCTATCACGAGGCAAGACCCCAGGTGTAGGTTGTGTAAAGATGACCCTGAGAGAATCCAGAACATAACAGCAGGGCACAAGATGGTACCAGGCAGGGCATACATGGAACGCCATAAACAAGTGGCCAGCAGAGTATACAGAAACATCCGTGCCAAATATGGCCTGGAAGTCCAGAGGTCAAAATGGGAGATGCTCCCTAGGGTGGTGGAGAATGTCTGAGCTAAGATCCTGTGGGACTTCCCGATATACACGAACAAAATGATGATGGCTAATGTGGACACAAATTTTAAATCCAACATGATAACCTTATTCCACCTACGATGTGGAGCTCCAAGTTTTGTTTTTTTTGTTTTTTTGTTTGTTTGTTTTTTTATAGATCCAATTTAAATCAGTTAAATCAGTAAAAAAGAACTTCTGGAAAAAAGCAGAATTCTTGGAACACTGTTTAATACACCAAATCATATGGACAGCAAGAAAATAAATACACAAAACAGCAAGACAACACAAAGCAAAGGTCTAGACCACCCGCATGGGCGAAAGGGAAATTTTTTATATCTCTGTTGCATCATGTCTTAATTATTCTTTGGCACTGTTTATTAAAAGAGTGAGTGAGATGCACATTTATAGCTCTTTCTTGTTCCTGTAGAGGAGGAGCTTGCCAGGGTACGGACAACCTTTGTGTGGAGGGTCTCACCAGAAATTCTTGTACAGCTGCTTGAGGCCCTTGTAACAGAAAGTGTCTTCAATGATTTGGAGAAAGAATCGATATTGGAGGGGAACCCTATTAGAGCTGATAAGGCACGTTGCTTTATTGACACAGTGAGGAAAAAAGGAGACAAAGCATGCAAGATAATGATCAGACACCTTCAGACCATAGATCCTTCTCTCTTCTTTCAACTGCATTTATACTCTGATCCATCTGCTCAGCAAGGTAAGTTCATTTATCTCAATATGGATGGTCACCTTTCAGCTTGTTGAGGTATAAAAGTGTGAAACCTCAGAATTAATTGTAAGAAACTTCATTCGGATTTGTTGAAAGGCTGCAAAAATATTTTCCAAAGGACATGGAGATATTTTGATTATTATTATAAACCTATGAACCTACTTAGAAGATCAAATGTGAGCAGTATTTAAATAAACGCCAGTCTTCTTCACTTGGTAAAACTATGGAAACTGATTGCCTTAAAAAAATGAACAGTGTCACTCATTTGACTCAAGTGCTTCATGAAAGAAAAAAAATGCAAAATTTACATATATTAAGTAAAGTATGTTAGGATTGGGTACATATGAAAAGCTGTAAAGTAATTCAGTATTATGTGGGTTTGAAGCATTTAATGTGACTGTTTTCATTTAGGAAATCCCGGAGCCCTTTTTGATGAATTTTGGGTAGAATGAGCATAAAAAATATAATGAATATAATAGGCTGAACAGCGGGCAAAAGTTCTTCACATAACACCCCTAGACCAGGTTTGACTGGATATGTATTTTTCCTTTTTTAATTTTTTTTATTCAGATGCTCTTCAGAATTGTCAGCCTAAACTTAAGTCCAACCTGAAGAAGAAGTTCCAGTGTGTGTTTGAGGGGATTGCTAAAGCAGGAAACCCAACCCTTCTGAATCAGATCTACACAGAGCTCTACATCACAGAGGGAGGGACTGCAGAGGTCAATGATGAACATGAGGTCAGACAGATTGAAACAGCAAACAGGACACCAGACAAACCAGAAACAACAATCAAACAAGAGGACATCTTTAAAGACTCACTCGAAAAACAGGAACTAATCAGAACAGTGCTGACAAAGGGAGTGGCTGGCATTGGGAAAACAGTCATAACACAGAAGTTCAGTCTCAACTGGGCTGAAGACAAAGCCAACCAGGACATCCAGTTCATATTTCCATTCACTTTCAGAGAGCTGAATGTGCTGAAAGAGGAAAAGTTCAGCTTGGTGGAACTTGTTCATCACTTCTTTACTGAAACCAAAGAAGCAGGAATCTGCAGCTTTGAAGACTTCGAGGTTGTGTTCATCTTTGATGGTCTGGATGAGTGTCGCCCTCCCCTGGACTTCCACCACACTGAGATTTTGACTGATGTTACAGTGCCCACTGCAGTTAATGTACTTCTCACAAACCTGATCAGGGGGAAACTGCTTCCCTATGCTCATATCTGGATAACCACACGACCTGCAGCAGCTGATCAGATCCCCCCTGAGTATGTTCACAGAGTGACAGAGGTCAGAGGGTTTACTGACCCACAGAAGGAGGAGTACTTCAAGAAGAGATTCAAAGATGAGGATCAGGCCAACAGGATCATCTCCCACATCAAGACATCAAGAAGCCTCCACATCATGTGCCACATCCCAGTCTTCTACTGGATCACTGCTACAGTTCTGGAGAATGTGCTAAAAACCAGAGAGGGAGGACAGCTGCCCAAGACCCTGACTGAGATGTACATCCACTTCCTGGTGGTTCAGGCCAAAGTGAATAAGGTGAAGTATGATGGAGGAGCTGGGACAGACCCACACTGGAGTCCAGAGAGCAGGAAGATGATTGAGTCTCTGGGAAAACTGGCTTTTGATCAGCTGCAGAAAGGAAACCTGATCTTCTATGAATCAGACTTGACAGAGTGTGGCATCAATATCAGAGCAGCCTCAGTGTACTCAGGAGTGTTCACACAGATCTTTAAAGAGGAGAGAGGACTGTACCAGGACAAGGTGTTCTGCTTCATCCACCTGAGTGTTCAGGAGTTTCTGGCTGCTCTTCATGTCCATCTGACCTTCTTCAACTCTGGACTAAATCTTCTGGAAGAACAAAAAATAATCTTCAAGTCTCAAATAACGGAATCTGCAGAGAAACACTTCTACCAGAGTGCTGTTAATGAGGCCTTAAAAAGTCCTAATGGACACCTGGACTTGTTGCTCCGTTTCCTCCTGGGACTTTCACTGCAGACCAATCAGACTCTGCTACGAGGCCTGCTGAAACAGAAAGGAAGTAGCTTACAGACTAATCAGGACACTGCACTGTACATCAAGGAGAAAATCAGTGAGAATCTGTCTGCAGAGAAAAGCATCAATCTGTTCCACTGTCTGAATGAACTGAATGATCGTTCTCTAGTGGAGGAAATCCAACAATCCCTGAGATCAGGAAGTCTCTCCACAGATAAACTTTCTCCTGCTCAGTGGTCAGCTCTGGTCTTCATCTTACTGTCATCAGAAAAAGATCTGAATGTGTTTGACCTGAAGAAATACTCAGCTTCAGAGGAGGCTCTTCTGAGGCTTCTGCCAGTGGTCAAAGCCTCCAACAAAGCTCTGTAAGTACATTTGTACTCATTCCTATTTCTACATAAACATTGTAATGATTTTGGCCCCTTTAAAAAACATATTGGATATAAACAGCAGTACTGTGGCGGGACGTGATCTGTGATGCCACTGCAGGTGTTATGGATGCACCTGCGCAGCATCTACAACATCTCGGTGGCATAAAAAGCTGTTATTGCCTATGATTGCGTGTACGTGTGGCTGGCAGGAAGGGAGCTGCAGCCGAGAAGTCATCCAAACAAGCATCCTGGTGTGTAAATAGCTTGTGTAAACAAAGCATGTGCAAAGCATGGAAATGTCAGTGGGTCTGTCTTGGTATACAACAGACCCACTGATATACTCAGTCAGGTATACTCAGTCAGGTATATCATACTTTTAATATGTCGCAGCAGCAGAAAGTATTAGGATTTCTGAGACATTTGTATACGCAGTTGTTATCAAAGTACAGATCCACTTTGGGTAGGTGTTAAACTATGACACATCATTTACAGTGCTGAAAACAACACTGAAATGTATAGACCTGTCTTTCTTCACTACAAGAATAATGGGGCTACAGCCGCACCTTGTGACTCGTCCATCACTCCCAGGATTTCAGCAAATTCTTTCTGAACAATTTGCCTCTTAAGCTTGGGTAACCTGTTGAACTGTGAACACACTGTCATGCCAAGGCCTATTTCAACATGGTGATTTATGAGATTGGTATTATAACAATGATGATGATGCATACCCAGAAACACTGACTTGAGGCAACTTTTGTTGTGATTGGCACTGTATGAACAAAATTGAATTGAATCTGCAAAACATTGCTGGAATCCAGAAAAATCCAGTCTTTAGGTCTGTGTGAGATGTTCATCACAATGGAGGGAGGCAGGAATGGTGGAATTTCGTACCTCCAGCACTTTATCTCCCAATGAAAATTGTCTGAGTCTAGCACTTCTTTTGTACAGGCACTGCTGACGTTCCTGGTTCTGGAGTAAATTCTCTCGAGACAACCTTCTTAAACTGTATATCTTGACTCTCAGGTCCAGAATTTATTGACTTTAATTCTTAGCTGGGCTTTTTGTCCAGTTGTCTTTCATTAGGTCCAACACACCCTGCGCTTTTCTACCAAACAGAATCTCAAAGGGAGAAAATGCAGTGGAGGCCTGGGGCACCTCATGCCCTGCAAAAAACAAAGGGTCCAACCAGTGATTCAAATTGCGTTCATCCTCATGAATGAACTTACAAATCAAACTTACAATCAACTTTGAAGTTTTTCTTTAAGCTTCCCCACCAGTCTGGGGGTGGTAGACGCTGGTCTGAACAGATTAATGCCCAACCATTTGTAAGACACACACCTTTGGCGCTCAGCTATACAGCTATACAAAATGCAGCATGTTGCTGCATTTTGCGAAAAAGGGATAGAGGGAAGGGAAACTGGCAATGCGTTGGTAGAAAGCATGTTGCTGCATTTGCGTATGAGGGGTAATGATAAATGCAGAGAAACTGACAATTCGATAATAGGGAACTCGCTGCTGTGTTTACAAATGATGGATGAAGAAAGAACAAGCAAGCGGTGCCATAAGTGTGCTGCTGCATTTTGCACAAGAGGGAAAATGAATGAGAACCTAGCATCCCAGTGCTAGGATTAGCTGGAAGGATTAGCTGCTGCTTTTTTGATAGTAAATGCAGAGAGACTGACAACTCATTGATAGAGGCTTGCTGCTGCATTTGCGAATGAGAGATAAAGAAAGAACCTGGTGTCCCGGTGGCAGTGGGTTTTTTTGTTTTAGTACTTTGCAATGATGGGTGCAGAGAAACTGGCGACGTGGTGGTAGAAGCTTGCTTCCGCATTTTTGTGACTGACAGTCATGGAAAAAACTAGCATCCCAGTGCTAGTAGAACTCTTTGCTGCTTTGCAATGATGAATGCAGATGTAAGCTGTGCCCTGCAGCCTAATCAATAATATAATAAACCAAATGCAATAAATTGTTTTAAAATATTAACTTAAGCTCTCAAAAAACAACAAAAGCACAAAATAATAAATATATCACTGGTAAATAGCCGAAAACAACTTGTAAGAAAAAATACACAAAACAATACATCAATCAGACAAGCAAATGTAACCCAAAAACCAGGACCCAACGTTTTGGTGCTTATAATTCAAACGTTAAACTCAAATACAATCATCTTAATAAACACCATTCAACAGGCAATACAACACTGTACCAAAAACACAATCAATGAAAAACCACATTTCCGGAACAAAAAACCATCTCGATACCTGCAACACATAGAAATTCAGGTCTGTGATCTGTGTGTGTCATGCGCCTCCTAGGATACCTCTCCTGACAGAACACAGTGCATGCCGTTAAAATACGGCAGTGATTCCTTTCAGCTCCCGCTAGTGATCAGGCTAACTTAGCATGCAAGTACTACAGCTGCATCCTTGGTCTAAAACTCATTAAAAACTTGTATTAGTGAACTCAGCCTTCTACCAAACTTACACCAAATGAGTCTGTTAACAACTGACCAAAACGCAGCAGTTCGGGTATATTCAAATTGCAGCTTGAGGCCTTAGGGAACTTTTGTTAGCTCAGAGCAACGTGACAATGACTTACCTCTGGCAATGCTGAAAGGAGCTGTGACCGGGGCACACATGCACGTGCCTACGTTATCACGCAGCACACAACCACACAACACACACAGACATAGGCAGGATGTTTTGGTGAAATTCAGAAGTATTTAACACATATGCTACATTCACCCCCCGAATTTCACCAAAAGGTTTGCTGCTGCTTTTGTGATGATAAATGCAGTGAAAATGGCCACTCATTGATGGGACGCTTGCTGCTTCATTGCAAATCAGGGATACAGAAAGAGGCAGACATCTCGGTGCTGGAAGTTTATTACTGCTTTGCAATAATGGATCAAGAGAAACTACCAACACGGTGGAAGGAGCTTGCTGCTGGATATAGAAGGAACCTGCTAGATGGATTCGCTGCTACTTTTGCCATGATAGATGGACAGAAACTGGCAACTCAGGGGTAAGAAGCTTGCCTCTGCATTTTGTTAATTTAATGATGGATGCAGCAACCTAGCACCACAGAGCGGTTGGATGCTGCGTGGC